CCCTGTGTCCTCTGGGGGTCCTTGGGGGCCCAAGGCCTCAGGCAGGAGGCATCAATGGTTTCTTCAAACCACAGTGCCCCAGGGGACAGGGGCTGGCACCCTGCTTCTGTGGGGCTATCCCCGACTCCCTGACTGTTTTCCTGGGGCAACCATAGCCACTGGAATAGTAACCAGCCTTCCTTTTCCACCCTGGCTGATGACTCTCCCCAGGAGACCCTCCCTGCTGCCTTGGGTGGGCCCAAGACACACAGTCCACCAGGGGTCCCTGGGACGCCACTCTCCCCAGAGGAGCAGGACGCAGGACGCAGCCTGGCCCCTAGGCGTCCCTCCTCTCCTCACCAGACATGGAGCAGGCCTGCAGCCCCCAGCCTCACCCCTGAGCAAGGGAAGTGAGGAACAAGCCTCCAGGGGAGGGGGAGTCACCCCCAGGTCTCTCCTGGGCCCAGGGCTGGAGACCCAGAACAAGGGATCCCGCCTCCAGGCCAGCCAGGGTGGGTCGTGGCTCTCCCACAAGACAAACGTTAAGAGAGCCTGACAGAGGCAAACGCTCTCAGGTCAGCCGCTGGGGCCATGCCTTGGAGATGCCCGTTCTCCACGGCCCCAGCTCCTTCCCCGGCCTTCCCCTGACACGCAACACAGCAGCCTGGTGTCTGCTGTCATTTCTCCACACGCGTTTCTCTTCTTTCCTATACTGTGTGTTGAAAATGTGTTCCACATCAGGTCTCGTTAGCTTAGCTGTGCTCATCCGTTCAGGGCTGTTTCCCTCTCAGTTGACTTGATAATACCCATGTGTTTTGTGACTCGCCCCCCCTGCTGCTTTCCCCCCCTTTTCAGGTTAAACAGATCCAGCTGGCAGGGCCATGCACCTCCCGCTCGACCGTCCACCCACTCTCCGCCCCCAGCACACCCATGCTCCCCCCGCCTCCCTAGGCACCTCCACCCTAACAGCGGCCCTGCTGCCCCCTCGTCAGTCCCCGCCTCCACCTCCACACCCACGCAGACCCCACACCTTCCACCCCCCCCTCCACTGCTGGCCACCTCCTCACAGAGGAACGCCTCCCTCACACACACTCACGCTTCCCCCGCAGACACACTCCCTTCCCCCACAGTTCCCAGCAGGTCCCTCTGGCACCACGGCTGGGTGCTCCCCGCTGAACTGCCCTGAGCTCAGGGCCCCTGAGCGGCTCCCCCAGTGGAAGGACCCTGCGTGGCACTGGGGTTCTGCTCCAGGCCGGCGTGTCCTCCACCGAGGAAGGGGCGCCGTCACTCAGGAGCCCGAGGCTCCCGTCCCCAGGCCTGCCCACCACCCTCCTGCCCAGGGACGCCTCTGATGAACGGAAGTGCGTGAGGGACTGGCAACTTCATGAGCAGAGGACTGGAAAGCCAAGCCACTCTTCCCTTTCTTTTTTTGACTGCTCCAAAAATACAACAGACTCCCCCCTGCCCTGCTCCTCCCACAGGAAGCCCCTCCTGTGTGCATCCATCGTCTGGGTGGGGCTGACTTCCCTCTGGACTTGGCTCAGGACCTCTCACAGGTTACACCTACTCCTACCAGACACTTGTTTCCGAAGCCCCTGCTCTTGTCTCCCAGGAGAACTGGTCTCGGGTTGGCCTGTTTCCCCCCTATCCAAACCTCTCTGAGCCTTCCAGAAGTGGTCTTAGAGGCTCTGGCTTGGTGGCTAGGCTTTTCTCGAAAGGCGCCAGGCGTATTTCCGGACCCCATTGACATTTAGAAAATCTAAACATTCATAAATGTCTGCATGGCCTTTTTAAAATTAGCCATGAGTTGTTAAAGGTCTCTGTGATTCCCACAGTATTCAGCTCCTCTTTAATTTTTTTCCCTAAAATACAGAGTTACTTTTCATTTCCCACGTTCATTTCTGGAGGAGCTTTGCTCCAAGGGGAAAGAGTCAGCCGTCAACACATGATAATAGGTCTGGGGGTTATTGCTCATGAGGAAGAGATTTCAAATACCACATCAAGGGCAGGCAAAGAGAAATGTGCTGAACAGCTAACACGGGCGAAGCACTTTACCTATACTATGTAGTTTTAATTTTGCCCTCGGAACACACTGGAAGTGGAGGTATTATTGTTCCCACTTTACAGATGAAGAAACTGAGGTTCAGAAAGATGAACAGCAGCTTGCCTAAGCAGACTTAGCACCTAAATGGCTGAGCTGGGATTTGAATGTCTATGCTCTCTCTACCCAGCATACCAGGTGGCTCCCACTTAAGGGTCTGGGAATAGAGCAGAACAGCAGCCTAAGCTCCAACCAAGAGAAATCCTATGCCTCACACGTAAAGGCGCAGCAAGGACTACACCAAGGAAGGGGCCCCGCTCTGGCTAGAGCAGAGGACAGCCGTACAGTGAGGACCAGGGAGAAGCTGCCTTCAGATGCCCGCAGGACGCCCAGCGCGTTGGCTGTGAGCTGTCAGACTCTCCAGAGGAAGCAGGCGCTTCCTCATTTGGGACCCTAGTTATCCAGCATATTACACGTATTGTTCCCAGCACCGCTTGTTATAAAAGCCGCTGCTTAATGGTTACCGCATGTGCCAGCCCCTTGGCTAAATTCAGAGCATGCATCCTTCGGCCTTCGCAGCCCTGCGGGGGAGGGTCCATTTTATACAGGTAGGAACTGAGACTCAGCTGTGGAGGAAGTGGCCCAAGGCCATGCTGTTAGGGGGTTTCAAAGCCCAGCTTCAGACCCCGGACCGTCCAGATTCATGACATGATTGAGGGTGGCACGTTTAATGAAATTTGTGTGTGCCTGATGGCCCTGCATAATTTAAAACTGAAGTTCCCATAGGAATACATTTGAAGTAAGAGTCGTATTTCAAACTTTTCCCACGAAGTGAGATTTTATGAATATTTTTGTTTGCACATATTAGCATAGCACATGCCCCCGCTGTACGGGCACCCACAGCTCCAGCTAGATCCCAAGGATGTGGCTCCTGGGCCAAAGTCCTCCTTATCCCAACCCCCTGGCCCTGGGAAGATGCCCTGAAGGTAGCCCAGCCCTGAGCACTTGCAGCTGCTGCTCTGATCCCAGCCAGCGTAAAGGAGACTGTGTCCTATTGTTGCAAATAGAATTTACACAAACAAAAAACAACAAAGCTCACGCTCCTGGACAGCGATTCCTCCCTGCAGGCTGGCAGGCGCGCTGTGGTCCCTCTCACAGTCCCCTTCTTCCCTCTCTCAGTGGAGGTGGGCTAAGAGCACTGAGGCAGAGAGTGTGCCTCAGAGCAGGGAGGATGGTGGTGGAAAGGACCCAAGACGCCCGGTCATCCCTAACAAGGAGCAGAGTGATTGCTTTCAGAGGCCCGCAGGTCTCCAGCCACTCTCTGTGGTGGCTGCTCTGCGTGATGCAAATGCCCTTGGTATTTGGCCCAGGCTGGGGGAGCCAGCCCCCGGGCTAAGCAGGCCATGGTGTGTGACGCCTAGCAGCATGCCCTCCCCGAAGCCTGGCCCCAGCACCCCAGGTTCCCTTGCTGGTTTCATTAGCCCAGTCTTCATGCTGACGGGGAAGGGCAGGGACCATGTGTCTGGAGCAGGCTTGGCACATGGCTCTCTGAGGTGGCCAGCAACTCCTGACTCTCCTTCAGAGCTGGCCTCAGACCCCTTGTCCAGACCGAGGGGGAGAAAGAGCTTAGACCCCTAAGCTTGGGTCTGTCTTCCTCCTGGGCCTATTTGAAGCAAGACTCAGGCTTAAAGAGTCCAAATAGATCCAAGGCCACAGTGAATTTATGGTAATCATCAGTGATCAGTCTACTGGTGATTACAAGGGAGGTGGGGAAAAGATTCTCAACCCAACAAGCATTTCATCATTACACATCGCTGTTCCTCCATTCTTTTTCCATTCCAGCTACCCACCTCCCCACTGTAGGTCTCACAGCCTATAAAGCATTCCTGTTTGGCATTCTAAGTGACTCCCCTCTTGGATCTGATCTGCATATATGACTAAAAACAAGCCTGGTATTTAAGCGAACAGGAATCAGTTACCCCTCCGCGCATCCCCGGGTGGCCCGGCTATCCTCAGACATCTTCAACTCCAATACAGCAGACCGAGAATAAGCATTTAGGGACTGGGCCTCTCACTTGCTGCTCCTCACAAAACCACTGCCACATACCATATCCCTTAAAACAAGTACAGATTGATCCCACGCCAATACCTTATCATAAAATGGGCTCCAAAGCAGTGATGTTCCCAGGGTGCCAAGTAAATGCAAATACAAAACCACCCTTGGGGCTATTTCCTACCCAGACCACACAAAATTTCCACAGGGGGAAAAAGAATCCCACTGCCAATGACCACACCATCAAACATTACAGAACATAAAGGGAACACTCCACCATAAACAAGAGCAAGCAGACACAGAATGTGGGAGGACTAGCAATCTCAAAATTTGCGCTAATAAAACAATCCAGAAAGGACTATAAAATAAATACATTTAAAATAGTTGAAGAAACTAAAATGAAAATAGAAATCATAAGGAAATACCAAGAAACCATGAAAATAGGGCAGACAGATTTGAAAAACTATTTGAAAATAATGCTAAAGGATGTACTTCAGGAAAAAGGAAGTTAAACCAACAAGGGTGGGTGAAATGCAAGAGGCAACGGCGAGCAAAGACACCAGTAAACTGTGGGTAAATATAAATAAGTACTGAACTATTTATAAATAACAACTGTATTAATAATGACCACTGGGAGGAGGGTAAAGACAGGCAGAGCTAAAATATAGTCAACAATAACATGGAAGATGGGAGACGATGCTGGGCATCCAAACACCCCAGGATCCCACCAAAAGCACAGGAGGATTGAGCGGGTGTCTCACAAAGTTGGTTGGGGGGCTTCTGGGGCAATGGATACCACTCTGGGCTATGCTGTCCTCTCCCACCAGAAAGTTTCTTCAGCTTTTCTCCCCAGAGCGTATCTGAAAGTCAGAACCTACAGAATCATGTACCCTCATCCCCTTGAAGCAAGAGTGGGAGGCCACTTACCCATGCTGGTCACGGTGTATTGGTAAGGTTCTGAGAGGAAGTGTGGGAGGGTGAGGACAAAGGCCCCCGAAGCCAGGAGGAGACCCCCCATGCCGATCAGACGCGGACGGTGCACCCGGCTGCCAAAGTAGCTGACAAAGATGATGAGGATGGCGTTGCTGATCTGCAGAGAGAGCAGAGGAGCCGAGTGAGACCAGAGGCTCTGTCGTCCCCCACCCACAGAGTGGACCTGACCGTCACAGCAGAGAGGCAAGAAGCTGCCTGGTGTCGCCCAAGGGCCCAGGCAGAGCAGTGGTGCCAGCTTTGCCGGGAGGGCCAAGCATGCAGTTTCAGCTTTCCCCTGTTGTCAGAAACCCTTCCCAGCCTCAGCCTTCTAGACCAGACCAAGAGAAGTATCTAGAGACCATGGGAAGCTCAACCATTAGGACCAAAGCTTTGGGGGCCAAATTCAAGAAAGCTTCCTATTCTGGCTGGCTCCTAGGAACAGTACGTGTTCCCTAACTAAACTCCCTAAGGACTCTGAGTTCATAGTCAGAATAACCACCAAGCAACCTTCACTATCTCATTTCATCACGCAACAAGTCGCATGTTTGCAGACGACACAATTGGGGCTCGGAATATTAAGTAACTTGCCATGTCCATGAGGTCAGGAGGCGGCTCAGACAAGGACTGCCTGAGTTTAAAGGGCCCCGCCTTAAATACAGTGGTCTACTGCCCCTAGGAGAAGTGAGTTTCTGCCCCAGCAGCTCTGCTCCTAATCAGCTCTGGCCCTCCCTGGGTTGGCTTCCACCTCTGTGAATGAGGGATGAGGACTAAAGCGCCCTAAGTCCCTTCCCGGGTGAAACACCAGTAACTCATGTTCCTGGTGCTCCCTGGAAAGCGTGCTCTCTGAGCCACACCCAGAGCCAAAGAGGGGAACCGAAGGCCCCAGCTTGGGGAGCAGGGTCTTAAATGGTAAAAGGGGTGCTGGCAGATCTTCTGACCTCGACTCCATCCAAAGAGATGGTCCTCTGCCCCAGAAGGTGAGTCCACCTGAACCAGAGGAGCCCTGGATGTCAGCACTCATAACCCCTACCCTGTCCACACCACAGTCTCCTTCCGGCCGTTAAAGCAGGTGTCCCTGTCTCGGGAAATAGGGACCAGAGTCTTGGTATGTGGCTCTTGCCAAGATTGTCAATGACCTCCTCATTGCCAAGTCCGCTGGCCAATTCTCAGTTCTCTTCTCACTTGATCCCTCAGCACCATCTGATTCAGTTGACTGTTTCTGCCTTCCTGAAACACTCCTTTCTCTAAGTTTCCATGACACCATGTTCTCCTAGTTTGCTGCCCCTGGTTGCTCCTTCTCAGTCTTCTTGGCTGGTTCCTCTTCACCTCCCTGATCTCTCAACTCTCAGAGCTCAGTCCCCATACCTCTGCTCTTGTCTTGGGAGCTCAGCCAGTCCTACGGCTTTCCTTGTCCTGTATGCGCTTCTGATTCCCACAGGCCCGGCGCATCCCAGAGCTCATTCCTCACCTTCCACCCAAAACCTGGTGCCCCCCTCCCCAGTCCCCCTCCTCTCAGTAGACGGCACCTCATCCTATGAGCGGCTCAAGCAGAACGTCTGCACATCATCCTCGACTGCCCTTTCACACCGACATCCAACCACCAGCAAATCCCATTGGCCGGGCCCTCAATGGAAGCCAGCCACTTCTCACCACCTCCACCACTACCACCTGGTCTCAGCCACCATGGCACCCTTCTGAGCTTTGCCTTCTACCCACCGCCACTCTTGCCTCAGAGCCCTCTATTCTCCTCCTAGCGGCCAGAGTGGTCCTGCTGAAATGTCAGACCGTGTTCCCTCTGCCCAAATCTGATACGGGATCAAAAACAAAGTCGGTCCCAGAGCCTCTGAAGCCCTGAGGAGCCTGTCCCCTTCCCCATCACTGCTCCGACCTGCTCTTCTTCTGTCCCCCCCACTTCCTCCACCCCAGCCACTCTGCCTCTGGCTGCTCCCTCATCTTACATGTCTGCGGGGGGCTCCCTTCTCAACGAGCCCTACTTTAGATCTCTGCTCAGGTTGAACCTTCTCATTAAGGCCTTCTCTGAAAAAGAAGGGGGTCGGGTGGGTGAAATGGGTGAAGGGCGTCAAAAGTACACACTTCCAGTTATAAAATAAACAGGTCCTGGGATGTCACATACAGCATGGCGACTATAGTTAATAACCCTGTACTGTATATTTGAAAGTTGCTAAGAGAATAGATCTTGCAAGTTCTCATCACAAGAAAAAAACTTGAACCATGTGAGGTACTGGTTGTTAGCTAGACACTGTGGTGATCGTTTTGCAATATATACTTATCTCGAACCATTATGTCGTACACCTGGACAGCTAATATAAAGTTAAATATCCATGATATCTTAATTAAAAAGGAGTTATTTTAAATATAACTTATATTTGTAATAATTAACGGAAATAAATTATAATATATTAAAATATATTTATAATTTAAATATAATTCAAAGAATAAAGTTATTTAAAATGTAACCACCGTGCCCCTCCACGATTTTATTTTTCTTCATAGCATTTACTCTAATCTGATCCACCATGTTTTATTTATTTCTATAAATAAATGTCATATTTATCAGTAGAATGATATATATGAGCAGAGATTTTTGTCTGTCTGTTCATTCCTGTCTCCCCAGCACCTAGAATGGTGTCTGACACATAGCTGGTGTAAATGGTAGGTTTTTTCAAGAAGAGGACACGATTGCCCAGAGACCCCTCCTGTGTGGCCAAGAGTAAGAATGGTTTATGACACACAGAGAAAGGGGATGTGAAGGTGGGTGAGGAGGCAGCCTAGTCTGATCGGGAAAGACGTGGTTCTAGGACATTCTGAAACCAGCACCTGGAAACAAAGCTTTATCCTTATGCTTCCTAGATTTCATTCCCTTTTTGTTTCCCCATCATTTTGCATGAAATGATTGTAAATGTCAGACCATATCAGCTAAGCTAACTGAGGCTGACTTGAAAAGGTCTGGGAGAGGGACGGGAGAGGGCCCCGAAGCGACCCAGGGAGGAAGGATTGGGGGGTGTCCCATCCCATCCACCTGGAGCGGCCCTTCCTGTGCTCCCCCCAGGGCCTGGGCTGGCTTCTAGGAAGGAAGCTGGGCCTCTACAGCAGTTACGGCTGATGCTGGCTTAAGACCTTGGTTCCCAAACGTTCCTTCAGCTGTGGCTTTCCTTTGAAAAAAATTATTTTCCCTAATATTAAAAAAAAAGAAGAAGCTGTTCTAGCTGAGGAGAATAGGGCCTCTGCAGCCTGGGCCTCAGCCCCTCGGCCCGGAAATGGCCCCTAAAACAACTCTGTGGACTTCGTGTTAGAGCATCTGAAGGTTATCACACAGCCCATTTGTAACACATCCTTACCCACGCCTCAAACCAAAGGGGCCCAGGGCAAACTGATGGGGGGCATTAAGGGTGGCTGACTGCATCTGCTCAGCCCTGGCCGTGGGTGGGCCAGGGAAGCCGCTACTTCACCGGGCTGGATGCCCAACGTCTTCCCTGCCAGCCAAGCCCTCCTCCTGCCACTGGCTTGTTACACCCAGCCCTGGTCTCCCCTTCTCCTCACCCTCTGAACCCCAGCGAGACTGGGTCCAGCGTGAAGGCTCCCGTCTCCTGGAAGCTGGCTGCACACTCCAGGCATCCAGATGGGCTCACCTTCCCCTCCACCAGGCCTGGTTCTTTTCTCACACCCCTCAGGCTTCTGATAGGCAGCCGCCTTGTGGTCTGCGGTGCTGCCAAATCCTGCCTTTTCTTCCTTTGCAGCACTGCCGGGGTCCTCTTCTCCCCCAGCTGCTCAGGCCTGGCTGTGACAGCCGCCCAGCCATCCAACTTCGGGATACACTGTCCCTCAACTCAAGTGTCTACCAGGCACCTCTTCCAGAGGGTTCGTCTTCACGAGACTGTGCACCCGGGCCTGGCTCTGATCAAGAAGCCAGGCCAGTCCCTTACTGACCCCCCCAAAAGCTGGGAGCCTCGAGCTTGAACATGAAGCCCCCTCTGATTTGGCTGCTCTCTGCTCTTCCGGTAAGACCCCTACTTTCTTAGTCTGTTTTTAAACGCTTCGGTCAGAATCAACGGGATTGTAGAAAGCCCTTTGGCTGAGTTCCTCTCCTCCACACAATCACCCATCCACTCCCCCTCAACACACACAGATACACACACACACACACACACACACACAGATACACACACAGACGCACACAGATACAGAAATACAGACAGACAGACACACGGATACACACACAGTCTCAGATCACAGATACACACATATAGTCATGCACACAGACACGCACAAATACTGAGACACACAGAGAAACAGATATACACACAGACACACATTTTCCCACTAAGCACACACACAAGATTGTTAGGTTCAAGGAATTAACTTTCTTATGCTGTTTGCCTCAAACCACGCCCACAGGCATGTTCTAAAACCTGACTGTTGAAAAGCTCATCTAAGTTTAGAAAAGAGAAAATTTAATGGGTGAATTATTTTCATTTTTTATTGAACTATAACCTGGGGAAATATTTTGCCCCTTATTTGCCTAATCAGTCTCCTGCCACAGACACACGGATACACACACAGTCTCACATTTCCCAGCTAGCTACTCCCTGCCCCTTGAAAAATCCAGTTGTTCCTGGGCCCACATCTTTGTTCCAAGCATGGGAAAAATAAAAATGAAAATTTAACCATCAAAGATCATAGATTCAATATCATGCGAGCCATAGTGGAAGAGAGGATTAGCCTACACACCAGCTCTGATATTGATTAGTAGATGTGCCTAGAACACTGTGTTGAGAAGGATTCAGAGTCTGGACTCAGCAGAAAAGAAGACTGCAGTTGATTAGTGATGTCTGCCAGGGTCACGGGATAGGACTGTGATGACACAAATGTCAGAGATTTGTTTTTCTTGTGTCCTGCGTGAATGAAGACAACATGTGCCAGAAGCATTATCAAAGTCACAGGCCAACACACAGAAGGGTGCATTTTGTGTGAGTGGTGCCAGGTCCCTGTCCTGTAAGAGAGCACAGCCTATGTGGAGGGGAAGACCCCCGTCACTGGGCATCACCAGGAAGCTCAAGACACAGATGCACAATCAGGTAGATAGAGGCATACATATGCACGTGTATACACACACACATACATTAAAACACACGGACACAGACACACATCCAGAAAGCAGTGAAGGCATCCACGTGGGCCTGGGGGTTCAGAGGAGGGGGTTTGAGGCCCATGAGGCCAGCAGGCATGACTGATGGGCCTCAGGGCTGTACGTGTGCAAGTACGTGCACGTCACAGGGTGGAGGAACAGTCCATGGGGAGGAGGAGTGCGTGGCGACCGTCAGACGGACCTGGGCTCCCACCCTGGCCGCACTACACACGTGTGCGGCCACTGGGATGGGGGTAGACTTTCTGCTGCCAGCTTCCTGTCTGGAAGACGTGACTGTGAAGAGAGCCCTCCTCCGAGGACGGCAGAGGCGTGGTGGAGAGGGCTCCTGAGGGGCACTGCCGTGTGGGCCGTGGAGGGCGCAGGAGTCAAGGGGAAAGGGGCGTTTCCAGCAGGGAGCAGGCTGTGGGATGGGGAGACTGGAAGGTGGGGGTTGGGGGACGTTGGAACACTTCCCACCTTCTTTACAGCCCATTCCAGAAGCTGTCTGGGGAGCCCAGACTCTACTGGGTCGGTTGTTGGCCTGAATTTCGCTATGTCAAGGGAAGATCTAATTGCATCTGGGCTCCTGGGAGGGGGAGGCCAAGACCTCCATCCCAGAACAGTGGGCCTTGTGGGAAGAAAAGACAGGAGCCAGGCCCAGGGCCCATCTCCTCACCTGGAGCCGACGATGCTGCAGCCACGATGCAGGGGCTTGCTGCCTCCCCTGCCCCTTTCTCCCTGGCTTCCAGTGACTCCTAGCTGACCCTGCCCTCTGACCTCTCACCCTGGCCTCTTGGCCCACCCTATCTTCCTCTAACTTTGACGTGCCATCAGTGAGGGATAGTGTAAACTCCACGTGGCTGGGAGGTCATAGACCTCTGACCTTGCCTGGCAGTCAGGGCCATTGAGCAGCTCTGTCTCCCGTTGCCCTCCTAAGACAGGAGCTGCCAGCCTGGGGCTGCTTCCCTAGCTGCATGCCTGGGGCTCGTCTTCCCCTGGACCGGGGATGGGCAGAGGCCACATAACCTCGTGGATGGTCACAGAACTCAATTAGAGGCACAGAGTTTGGAGGCAGCAGGCCTGCACACCTGGCACAAGCTGCTGCCCTTGCTGAGCCCTGGTGCCCTCAGCTGTCAGCAGGGAGGAGCAGAGTACCTGCTCGCAGGGCTGCTGTGAGGAGGTCAGGTGCCTCCAGAGGCTCTCAGCTCAGCGCCTGGTGCAGGGCAGCCTTGGGAAATGTAGCTGGCTGTCTCCATCCCCCATGGGTCCAACCCCGCCCCCCCACCCCGTTCTTCTGCTCCTCCCAAGGCCCCTCCTGGATGCCGTGATCAGGGTGGTGCACAAGTGGGGTCTGATGGACTAGAGCATCCTGCTTACCTCATTCAAGCTGGAAATGAGACCTGAGGAAGAACTGGAGAGGCCAAAGCGCTTCTCAATGGTGGTGAGGCTGCTCTTGAAGTAGGCGCTATACAGGAGCTGGCAGAGCTGCAGCAGGCCATGGCACAGCACGAACACCTGGGGAGGAGACCTGGACGGTGAGGCCTCTGGACAGTGAGCCCTGACCACCCACCTTCGCCCTCCATTCTGGGGCACAGAGGCCCAGCAGCCTGGCCCCGCTCCCCTGTTAGTTGGGAACACTTTCTCCATCAGGTGGTCCTAGGGTGAAATGTCATCATCCTCGGACCAGTTTCACCCACAGCCTTAGTCAACACATGTGAACCATTCCCATCATTCCTGCCATTCTTGTCACATTATCATCAATGGCAGGAAAACCACAGGGTTGAAGAAGCATCCCTGAGGGAAAGGCCTGACTCATCAGCCATGGCCCAGGGCATTCAGCACCTGGAATTGTTCTCTGACAGCTCTGCCCTCCCTCCTGTGTCCTGTGAGGGCTGAGGGCCACATTCATGTCACTCCCAGGGGCACAAACAAGCCAGGGGTCACACTGCTCCATTCCTCTTGACCTGCCTTCCATTCTCCTCCCTCCATCAATACCCATCCTCCCAGGCCCCCCTCTCACACCCCAGTGAGGCTCCAGGACGGGCTTTCACACTAGCCCATTTGAATGAAAACACTAGCCAAGCTTGTTACCACCTCTCATACGGGGTATTTGTGACTGTGCCGGCTCCTCTCCTGAGTGGATGATGAGGACCTGGAGAAGGCATCCCACCCTGCCCCATATGCCTTGTCCTGTGGGTATGAGTAAATGTGACAAGTAAATGTGGTTGATGGGGAGGGTGGAGAGGGCTTGTGGTATCTGGAGTCGGCTGCAGGCGGAGCTCTCCTGGGTCCTCGGCTATTGGGCTGAGAGCAGGCTCAGAGCTCAGAGCCCAGGGCCCCACATCCTGAGCCCCCTGGAATTGCCCCTTTTGGAGATTCACTCTTCCTCCAGGGAAGGGTGGGGTGCCATTATGTTTCGTAGTCTGCCAAAGCTCTTCCCTTAATTGAAGGCTGGCATCTCAGGAGAGCAACTGGGGCTCCACCTTCATTTCCGTTTCCTTGTAAAGCCAAGCCAGCCCCTCCGCAGGGGCCCGGCTCCAGGCTGTGGGATCAGAGCTGACCTCCCTTCTCCTACCTGTCAAGGCAGAGTCTTTGTGAGGCCAGCGTGCAGCCCTAGTTGCCTGCCCGTGCATCCAAATCCAAGGAGGTCATCAGGCCACAAAAGCAGACACCTGTCCGAACCACCGGCCCCTGACCCCGGAGCCCGCGGGGCCTCCTCACTGCTCATCAGTGGCAGAAGGAAGCCTGTCCACCTGGAGTCAGAGGCAGCCCGCCACCCCTGCCCCCTTAGGGAGGCTCCACTCTGCTTCATTTCATATACTAGAATTCTTAATATTCTGTGATAAAGGTACCCTGGAAAATGATCTAGTCTCTCTTACAAATGGGGAAACAGAAGTCCAGAGAGGGAGAGGGGGAATCCTAGCGCCCCAGAGTTGGGGAAACCAAGGGCCTGCGAGGGTGGGAACTGGCCATGGCTGCTCCATTGTGTGAGAGGCAGGCCCAGAACCGGTCCCCGGCAGGCATCTCAAGTGCCTGGCACTAAGCCCACAGTGCCTGCCACATGCAGGACAGAGGCCATTTGGTCTTGGATGCCTTGCCAGATCCTCTTCTTCTGACCGTCCCCTAAAGGCTGATGCCCCCCCAGACTCTGTCTGTAGTCCCCTTCTCTGCGCACGGCACCCTTTCTGCACACACTCATTGGAAACCCCATTTGCGGTGCCCACATCTCAGACCCTCCTCCAGAACGTCCCCCAGAGCTTTTACACTCAAGTCCACCTCATTGTGTGCTGGACGTGTCCACGTGGACATTCTCAGACCCCTCAGGCTAATCACTTCCCAGATAGGGCTCAGGGTCCTCCCCCACAAACCTCTCTAGTTTTTCATTCATTCCCCACCACCTTCACTCAGTTCCCTAAGCCAGAAACCGGGAATCCTCCTGGATGCCTGTTCGTCACTCCCTGGCATTTGGTGCCACTGCTGAGCCCTGTGATTTCACCTTGGCATCTCTTGTATTTGACTGGCCCTTCATCTCCAGATTATGCCTTGCCTCAGGCCCTCTCCCCTCTCCCCTAGATTCCTTCAGATTCCTCTCACAGATCTCCTGCCATCCCCTCAAACCTTCCATCCCACCACTCCAGAAAGAGCTTTATCAAACACCAATGTGAGCAGGTTACTCTCAAATTAATACCTCTCACTGGCTCCCCACTTCCTACAAGATATAAACCAATGCTCAAGGTTGGTATCCAAGATGCTACAGGTCCTAGACCCTGCCTGCCTCTTTGGCTCCACATCCTGCCGTGGCAGATCAAGTTTCACAAAAATGGCTACACCAATATCTCCTGTCCCACATACACCTCTAACAATGGGACAATGACATTCGTTCATCAAGAAGTGGGCTCTGTACTCCCTCCCTTTCAATATGGGCCAATTTTAGGTATTTGCTTCTAAGGAAGAGAAGGAAGAAGAAGTGATGCTCTGTGACCCCTGGAGCCAAGTCCTGAAAGTTGATAGTGAACCCCCAGCCCTTTCTCTCTTGGGACCCTTAGACCCCGGACATCACACTATAAGGAAGCCCCGTCTTCCCTGCTCACGGGGGGTCCACATGGTGGTGTTCCGGCCAACAATTCCAGTTAAAGTTTCAGCCTGCAGCCAGCATCAGCGGCCAGACATGTGACTGAGAGCCTTCAGAGGATTCCAGCCTCCAATGCCAAGTGGAGCAAGAGTGAGCTTCTATGGATGGCAGATCCGTGAGCAAACTAAATGTTGCCATTGATTGAAGCGCTAAGTTTAGGGCTGCTTTGTTATGCAGCACTAGAGCTAGAACACCTTGTCCTTCAAACTGCATCAAGGTCACACCACCCCACAGCACACACTCATTGTCTGCATCTTTGCTCACAATCTGCACAAAATCATCTTCCCCGCCTTTGTCTGGATAACCCTTCGGTGGCCCCCTTGCCCAGCACAGGGCTCAGGCATGTGTCAAGTTCAAGGTAGCTTCCGAAAATCCCGGCAATCCCGGCACCTGATGCTGACTTCTGCGAAGAGGTATCTTGATGCCTTGGCACATGGCTGGCATTTAGGGCGACATCCAGCAGAGGATGAGGGCTGTCATAACAGCCTGGGGGAGAGACAGTGAGGGCTGAACCAATGTCCAGGGCAGTGGGGAGGTGGGCAGGGGCCGATCAGAGGCTCCTGCAGAGGTTGAGTTGACAAGGCTGTCACTGATCCCAGGTGGAAGAAAAGGGGCAGTGTTTCCAGCCTGAGGGCCAGGAACGGGGCAAGGCTGTGTGTGACGGGGGCCCACGAGGAGGAGTGTAGATGGAGAGGGTGGTCAGTGAGTTCAGATTTGGAACAACCGAGGTTCAGAGCATAAAGCTCAGAAAAGACTGTCTCCCTCTAACCAAATTAGTAATGAATTAACAGGAGTGACTAATCTCTCCTCAGTTCCCTAGTAGTCTCAGGAGAGGAAGGTGAAGATAGTGGGGGGAAAATCTGTCTCAGATCTTTTCCTGAAAGATAAGCCTTTGCTTTTTCCAGTAAATACAAAAATCCCTTAAGATATGAGGTGGAAGACTCCACCTAGAGCCAGCGGGTGCCTCCTCATCCCATACCCCCCACACACACACACACCAAAGAGCCAACCACACGGCCAGCTTTCAGCCACTGCAGTCCTGTCAGGTCAGGGTGCCTTATGGGTGCCCCAGCAGAAGATGCCAGGTAAAGAGAAAGAAGTGGATGGGTGGTTCCAGCAGAGCTTTCTGGCCTGAGCCGCTCAGAATCACAGCCATCTGGTCCCATCTACTGAGCTTATGTGGACAGGACCCAGGCTGCTGAAACTTACCAAGTACCCACTCCATGGCCAGCATGACATGGAGCAGCAAACACTCGACACCAGGCAGGACACCACGCGTGGACGCAGAACTCCACCCCTCGCGAGAACATGGGGCTTATGAGCATAAGCAGACGGATTGGTGGGAGAAGGAAAGGTGCGCTCGTTGGGTTGCAACCCACCTCCTGCCACCACCATTTAGACAACATAGTGTTGTGGAATTTGATAGTTTGGGTTTGGGAGTCAAACAAGCCGAAGTTCACATCCTGACTGTAAGGAACGGCAAGACCTTCGGCCACGTATTTGACCCTCTGACAGCAGTTTCTACGCTAGTAAGTGGAAGCTGTGATAATACCTGTTCCCGCTGCCTTGTGAGGCTTGCACGAGAGAGTCTGTGTTTAAAGGCCTGGTGCCCTGCCTGGCCCACAGAGAGTGCTCCACATTCTGGGGGGATATGTAATAAGCCCAGGCTTCCTCCACTCCCTCCTCTTGCCCAAATAATTGAAACTTTCTGTTGCTTTCACGTCTCCTGTGGCATGAAAACTCTAGGATAGAATTTCCCACAATGTCTTAGGCAGATCACCACTTGCTTGAGATGCTCCAAGTTGAAAGGATTCCCAGGAGAAAAAAGTTTGGAAAACTGCATGCTATAATCCTCCCTTGCAAACATTTACAATTCACATTAGCATATTAAAGGCTCTAAGAAAACCTTGGGTAAAGACCGTCTTAGCTTTGTTTTACCCAACTTTCTCCATAGCTTCTTTAGCCATGTAACCCCCTGCATATATATAAAACAGATTCTAGCATTCTGCAGAATACAGCTTAGGGAAAGATTCCATGTCCCTTTTGAAAGAAGCTTATGGTAGAATCTGGGTCTTGAGATTTCTTCACAAAAGGAAAAGAAAATAAAGATATATTACATGGGCTGTATTATCTTTTTAAAAATAGCACACCAGCATTTTCTGTCTCCTCACTCTACTTTTTTCCTTTTTCATAGCACTTATTGCTTCCTAAAATTACATCATGCATTTGACTTCTCACTTATGGACATCTACCCCCACCAGAATGCAGACTTCACAGAGGAAAAATGATGTGTTTTTAAGATGCCACATACCTGTTGTCTGGAACAATGCCTGGTCCTTAAATGGGGCTCATTCACTGTCAAGTGAATGAATATGTCTTTAAA